CATTAGTTTTCTCCACCTAACCCACAGAATAATGCTAGGTGTACATAAATCGTCGCTGGTAACAACATATTTCTAGGCCCGCGAATAATGGCCGCATCTCTTTATTTGATACAGAAGTAAACAAAATATTCAAAGGAAGAAGAATAGCTACTAAAGTGCCATTTTTTATAATCAGAACTGGCCTGTGGTTGATTTTCTCCCGTGGAAGTAAATAATGAATACAATAACAGCAAAGGTTTCTTCCTAGCATATGTAAGTTATTGGACGGACGTGGTGTGGAAATATCCACAATGTGCCACGAAATTATGAATAACAGTTAACCTTGTGACCTCTGGCATTGTGATGAAACGCCTTAGAAACCAGTCATCTAGAATACCCGTAGTTAAGCAGCAAGTAACTCCGTGTTACATAGTCGGACTGATATACTTTATAATGTCTTAGCACTTTGGGAAGGGAGAGTTATATCTGTCTTATTTAATCTACACCTTTGGCCCTGTGAATACCATATCCCCAAAAGCACGTTGCCACTAGTTCTTTTCCCCGATGCCACCAGTCCATAACAAACGAGTGTACACAAACAAACAGTTTGGAAATAACTAAGAGACCATTGGTTATCTATGTTTTATGTGGATATCTTTAACCAAATGATAGGATACATCAGTAAAATTTCAGAAAAAATCTCTCTGAGTATAATGTAATATGCTGTTACACTACCAAGCATCAGTAAATATAACATAATTAATCTGTAAACCAATCTCGGAAAAATGGCAAGAGATGTGAAACAAAACAAACAGAAATCCTAAAATATTGAAGACACTCGCAAATTCAATCGTAACTCTAAATAAAGGTAACCTAGAAAGTATCACTCGGAGTATTTATATTTCAAACATGAAATACTGATTAATGGCCACCTACCATATGTTGCTAACAAGGAGACATGAACAGAAAAACGAAACTCGGGCAGTACGCATCCGGGATAAAATATATTGGTGAGAATTACATACGTACTAGGTACTACCTCCAAGAAACTGACGACGAAACCAACTTGCATGCACGAGGAGGAATGGAAATGTTAAGTTGGCGTAGATGGACAGATGATAACATTAGATTTTATGTTGCCAGCACATTGTGTTGATGAGCCGGACTGCAAGGAGTGTCCGTCACCAGCAGCAGGTGCAGTGTTTGGGAGGTGTTGTGTTTTACCAATATATGCGAATATCAGCGAAATGTATGTCGTCAAAGAAGATATTTAAGGAAGGGTGAACTCAAAACGAGGGGGGGTTATTGGCGAGACAACACACCCAGTCTGCGTCTGCGGAAAAATTTAGTACAATATATCGGTTGGTAAAAAAAAAAAATAAATATTACTGGAAACTAAGAAGTCCAATGTGTTTACTGAATCTTAGATTTGCTAAATCATGTTGTCAGTGTAGATCTAACGCTGTTTCTCGATGGGTTTGTTTGGCTAGTCCCTAACTTTAATAAAGGGCACCACACCGTCCTCCAAAACGCCAGCTTTCACCAGGAAAATCAAGGTGAAGGTAATGTAATAAAGAGGGATGCACATGACACACGCACCACTCCGTGCTCCCCACAACTACCCCATTAGTACATGCCGTTATTGGCCATGCAAATTTTGCACTATTGAATTTTTTTGTAACGTCGCAAAATATTTGTGTGTAGTTTTGTCTCTGTTTTATATAATTGTGAGTTGGAACTGTTGAAGTAAACTACTGTATCACTTTCATGTGTAGGGAGGGCTACATGGTGCTGGACCACTTTCACCATTACTGTTTAATGTCTTGAGGTGTTTGTCTCTTATAATTATATACTGTACTAGCATTTTATGGAATCTGGTTCACATTACGATATAATAATATTGTATGTCTGTAGTGGGTAACATGAAATTATGCTTTTAAGTGTTATTTGCAACCATTACCACAAATATGCCTTACGTATCCTGGGTAACTTTATGTATATACAGGGTATATATTTTTGTTTTATGTGCGTCCAAGAATTATATTGTGTAGATGAATTATTGTATAGACATGTGGGTATATCATAGGCAGTACAGTAATGCATTATTCATGTAAATATATACATTAATATGTGAGGGAATATGTCACTGTGTAAGTGTGGGCGTGTGGGTGTGGCAGTGTGGTTAGCTGGTTGTGTGTGTGGATCACAACCACTATCTTCACTGCCCCCCCTCCGCGACCCCAGCCGCCGCTGCCTTCCACTCAAATCCCACCCACTCCTGCACTCAGGCATCCAACTCCACGACCGACGCAAATACTGTACTGCATAGTACTGTACTGATCTCTAACACCTTGTTTCCCCTTGTGCTACTCACACATAATATATATATATATATATATATATATATATATATATATATATATATATATATATATATATATATATATATATATATATATAATCACACAGGAAAAAGGAAACAATGGATTAGCTTTCGTCTTTATTCAAGACATTTTCAGGAAACTATAGATGTCTTAAATAAGGCGAAAGCTAAGGACTCCAATTATATATATATATATATATATATATATATATATATATATATATATATATATATATATATATTTTATTATTTTTGTTATTTTTTTTTCCATAAATGATTATCTTGAAAGCAGTATGCTCTCATATTTTAATAGGAGAGCATACTGTTTTCAGGTAATCATTTATAGACACTAATTTTACTCATCATTTCCCCATTACATGTTTTCTAATGCTGTATCTTAAGTTTAAAAACGAAATTCCTTGCAGGTTTGTAAATATCGTTTGTGGTTTTTAAATGAACTCATTTTTGTAATTTCCGTACCATATTATTGTTGTTCTATCTTAACTAACCAGTTATTTTGTCACTAGCAACAACACTGGATTGTAGTTTATATTCTAAAACGTATTATAATGAGATTTAAGGCACTTAGCTTTAGTCGTAACAGCTACGAGAATAGTTTGTGACACCAACAGTCACATAATTATCGACGCTGGATATTATGTTGATTGCTTTCTTATTTTAGTCATGTGATAAAAGTTTTTGTCACATTGCCACTAGATGTATTTTACCACTGATAATCTGTCTTTAGAGTGGAGTTGATGTGGTGTTACAGAGAGAGAGTATGGAGGGGGGGAGAGTGTATGGAGGGGATAGGGTTTGAAAGGGAGAGAATGGAGAGGGAGTGTTTGGGAGGGAAAGTGTGGAGGGGAAGGTTTAGGAGGCGGGTAGGGTTTGGGAGGGAGAGTATGGAGAGGGAGTGTTTGGGAGGGAAAGTGTGGAGGGGAAGGTTTAGGAGGCGGGTAGGGTTTGGGAGGGAGAGTATGGAGAGAAAGATATGGACAAAAAGGGAAGGGAATTGGAAGAAAGGAGAATGGAGAAATGAAGTTAAGTAGGAATAAGGGAAGATTGAAAGGGGTTAGGTGAAAGAAAAAAGAGTAAGAGTTGAGAGGTAAAAAGAGATGAGAGGAATCCCATCTCATCCCTCAAATGATGTACAGTAACCAATTCTCACATTGTATATCCAATCAACACATGGTGTATCCAACCCCCACAGTGACCACCGTCTCTTTAGGTACCTAACTGCCCAATTCCGTTGTGGTGCACACATTACCCACATGATATACTATACACACCTTCTATATAAATGTACAGTATGCAACCAGCAAGTTAAGCATGTAACTCGCACATAATAGTTTACATATACCTAACTGTGTGTATTCAACTACTAGATACTTACTGTATACTGTTTGCTAATTCCCCCCTCTCTTGTCTCATTGCTATACAGTGCTGTACTTAAAAAGTACAGTGTGTTCTGCTGTAAGTTTTTACTGATCTATACATGGTCACAAAACCCACAATTTATCATCCATTAAGGTCAATACAAATTTTTTTATGCAATAATACCCTCTAGTACTGTTAGTTCCTGTAATGCAATCTGTTTTATTTGATAAATGAAAATGAACTTATTAAAGTTTTTCCTCTGTAATTTGCCAATTGAACTGAGGTTAATTAAAACCTTATAGTTGTACAGTCACCCAAAAAAGTCCTGTCGCGAACCATGAACCCCGAGACTCAGACTCTTGACTTCGAAGCATTTATGGACAGAATTATGTATCAGTGTCTACTGCTTCGGGTTCACGAGTCTGAATTGTGGTTCGCGACAGGACTTTTTTGGGTGACTGTACATATTAATAGCGCCTAATACTAAAGTGTAGTTACGGTATACAATAAAATAATTGTTTTTTAGATAGCAGAAATACAGTAAACTGATTTTTTTAATCCATTTCCAAGCCAAATTTAAAAACCACCTTTTTTAAGCATTGTCTCATTTAATAGATAGTGGTTGGGAACAAGAGTAAACATACAGTTCAGTACTTATACTGTACTGTACATTTTCATTTCCTTTGTTATCATAAATTAATTCTTACTGTTGTAGAAGATGTGTTGGGCTATGGTACTCTCCTTCCATGACAGCCCCAACCCACTCACCTCATACAAGCCAGTACATGTACTGTATCACCCATCATCAGCACTACCTCCCTACCCTTAAATTCAGTGAAAGTCTTGCCCTCTACTCATTCACACACTACAGTATTGCTTCCTTAATTTACTGTGTGCCCTTCACCCAATCCTTTCATCTTGGGATTTGTTTTTTTTCCCTCCTCCCATACAACTTTGAATAACTGTAAACACTAAATTTTACCAATCTTATTTAATTTACTTTTTTACTTTTACTTTACTTTTATCCTCTTCGCCACTGATTGGCTTGTTAGCCGCTTGGGCGATCGGCCACGTCTCTGATTACTTTTCCTTTTCATTTATCCTCTTCACCAAAAGATCGGCTCGCTAGCCACCCGGGCGATCGGTCACGTCTCTGTCACGCACTGTTGACAAATACTGGGCATGTCCTCTTATTTATGTGTCGACTGAATTGATAAGTGATGAGCTAATGATGACTAACTACACCTTACTTTTCCAGTTCGGCATACGTGTCATATGGTGGTCTGCTGATGAGGCTCCAAGGAGATGCCAATAACCTTCATGGCTTTGAGGTGGACAAACACATCTACCTCTTGATGAAGAAGCTCGCCTACTGATCATCAGTACAGTTACTTAAAAATAGCAAAGAATTTGTAATTTGTTTTATTTTTTTGTGATTTTGGCATATTTGCCCAGCCCTGAAAATTTGCTTAATGAGTTTTATGTGTACCTATGTAAAAGTTCTGTACCTGTATGTATACCAACAAGTTTTTCTGACATGCATTACTTTATTTTACTTCTGTCATTTTATTATTCTGAAATCCACTCCAGTCATTCAACTCATCATACACAAAGTTTATTCAAACAGATAAACAAGATTTTGTATTAAAAAAATCATTTTCTGAATCGAGGAGATAAATATTTGTACAAGTTTTCTTAATAAAAAGTATATTGATAATGATTATTTGGACTTTCAGTTGTTTACCTGTGGTACTTTAAAAAGCATTCTGTATACAGTAATGTATTATATATTGTGGTGTGATGTCAGCCCCTGTGGTAGCAATTCTGAGATCACACCCTCCAAGCTTGGCCCAGTTAACATTAGAAGAGCACAGGATATATACAGTAATACCCTGATTTACACGGTTAATTGAACCCGCGGAGGCCCGCGTAAAACGGGAAACGCGTAAATGGAACAACAGAACATATGGGATTAATTGAAATAGAGACTGGGCCAACCCCCAAACTCCACTTTTCAGACACAATACCTACGTTGTAGTAAAAATAACATCTTAATTTTATGATGGTATGCACACACAATTAATAATGAAGAGAAATGTCAATAATATTAGGTTTTTTAACACTTACATTAGTAGAAAAGATGGCTGGGCACACGGGGATGGGGGGTTGGTTCCGAGGCAGAGGGCAGACTATTGGCCCTCACATGTATCACTTGTATCAATTGTATCACTAACCACCACAGAGGCTTGCAGGGCCTCTTTGTCAAACCCCTCAAAGTCCATATAAGTCCTCTCCTCACTATCACTATCACTGACTTGGGCCGGCTGTAGTGGGTGGCGGGTGAAGAACTCGGTAATGTTTTGATGACTGAACGACCTTGTGCGTACCCTGCCCGCGCCGCTTCCCGCGTATATGAGTAGATGCACCGCGTAAAGTGGAAATTCCGGTTCTGGAGGGGTACTGCGTAAATGTGGAACCGCGTAAATCGGGGTATTACTGTATGTAGGCTTAAAGACCGAAAAATGGCCACAACACACCATGGTTGTTTGGAAAGTAAAGGTAATCAGAAAGTGAAATTTTGCTATAGGTTAGGTTAGGTTAGAATAGGTTTGTTTGGGTTGGTTTGGGTTGAGTTACATTAGGCTTGGTTAGATTAAGTAAGGTTCAGTTAGGTTTGGTTAGATTAGGTTAGGTTAAATTTAGTTTGATTAGGTTAGGTTAGATCACATTAGGATGGGGTAAACCTCAAGATGTAAAATTTAGCCTAATACAGTCAGACCTTAACATACGCGGGTTTAGCATATACGGATTTGCAAATACGCAGATTGCCCCGCCGTAGGAATATTCTGTACATTGAAGTAATTGAAGAACATTCAAATCGCGCGCCATTCAACTCGCACGCGGCAACGAACAAGGGACACCGCCCACTCCCGCAACCTCACACACACACACATAGCTCTCCCTCACTCAGTCAGTCTCGCTGTAACCATGCTTGTGTTGACATCAGCATTGTAGTTGCAAAAATATTACATTTCCGTGAATGTATTATATCAAGCACAGTATGAATAGAATATCACTAATATAAGAGTATTTTAACCGAAAACTACTAAAAAAACGAGTAACATATCTTGAACATCGGAAGGTTAGGTAAAGTCTTTTGTTTTCATGTAGTTTATCCTAATTTACATTGAAATACATTACGTTTCAGCAAGACTACTATTTATTTCTGAGAATACGTATATTCATTCAGTCACAGTTAAGGTAAAATATACTTGTGATGTAATATTTTAATGAAAATACGGTATCGTAGTTTTCTTTTGTTTCAAATTTAATTAACAAAGGTTGATGTTTCAAATGTAATGGACAAAAATTTATGTACAGTATCTATAAATAAACTTTAATAAATGAATACTTTATGTTTTACATCGTCCTGTGCTACCATACCATGGATTTGGCTACTTTGGGCTTGCTATGATGATGCAAGAGATCTGCCCTGGCAACTGTACCGACACTCACAGCTGATGGTGCGTTGGTGCATCGTTTCCATTGTTTACTGGCAGTTACTGGTAAATATTTTTCATCCTAACGAAACTATTACCCGTTTAGAGGTCGACCCCCAATTTTTTGCCAAATAATTTGATCTTAAAAACTCGAACTACACACAGGTATATACGGTAAATAAGGACATGGGGGGCCAGGGTTTTTTTTTGGGGGGTGGGGGAGCAAAAATACGCGGATTTTTAACATCCACGGGTATCTCTGTTACGTAACCCCGCGTATGTTAAGGGCCGACTGTACAGTTGTTTTATTTTTTTTCGCCCACAGTGAGTTGTGGTTATTTTTCGGGCTGAGGCTAATGTATTTGTATAGGTAAATTTCTTTTTATGCTGTCCCAATGTACGTTAATTTATATTAATGATGCTGATATATTAAGACCACTCCTCCATTTCCAATGTAAACAAACTCGCTTTAGCAATACACCTAGACCCCGACTTACGACGGGGTTAGGGACCCAAATCCAGGTCGTAAGTCCGACATGGTCGTAAGTCCGACATAGATAAATTTTTTTTTTTTTTTTTTTTTTTTTTAAATAAATAATCTACAATGAAATACAGTACAGTAAAAGTAATGAATAATGAGGAATGGATACAGTACAGTGAAAGTAATATATAATAAGGAATGGTTACAGTGTGAAGCACTTACAGAAGTTCTCTATAACGCGATAATTGTGTTCTTGTAAATATCGTGTTATAGAAAATCGCGTAATAGAAATAACAGGGCTTATGGAGAAAATAGGGTTAGGTGCAGATTACTCAAATCGAAAAAATTTAGTAGTTAGCCTAACACAAAGGATAGCACAGTCTAAATAAATGTTACATTCATATCTAATAATGAAATCATACAGTAAATTTAACACTTTACCTTGAAAAAATATGAATGTAACTTGATGGGGGAGAAGGGTGATTTTGAGGTTGATAACATCGAGCTTCTCTTCAAGTGTTATATCCTTTCTTTTACGATAATCACCGGGAATTCTATCATCAGAACGCTTTTTGGAGATATTCTTCGTTACCATATTCACAGTTAATACCACAAAATTGGAGAAATAGTAAGCAAAAATCGCGTTATAGCAAACAAGCGTTCGCGTTATACAAATATTGTTCCGAATTCATAAATCGCGTTAGAGCAAATTCGCGTTATCAAAACACGCGTTATAGCAGAACTCACTGTACCTTTAATGTAGTCAGCTGAATGCACATGGGGCCCCCATAATTTTTTAATTATACATGGAGACTACATTAACTGGAAACGTTTCGGTAGAGAAAATGCGTGTCATTTGAAAATTTTTTTTTTTTTTTAATAAAAAATCTGCGGCGGTCGTAAGTCCCGACGGTCGAAAGTTGAAGCAGTTGTAAGTCGGGGTCTAGGTGTATTTGTCTTCTCGTGGCCGTCTAGTGAACTACAGTCCAGGCATTGTTGCTTCTTGGTTACATGTATGTAAAGAAATGGACCTCAATATTTATGGGTCATCATCTTGGGTTTCTTTTTTTTTTCAGCATAGACTTTTTTCTTTTTTTACCCTACAGTGAGAGGATCTATTAAAGTTCATATTGTACTCGCTCTATTTTAATGACTGTGGAGTGACTTTGCTGTTTTTTTGTGAATAAAAAGTGCTTTGCCTCTTGTTATGAACACGAGGTGACCAATGGCAACCGGTATCATTAGTTTTATGTCAATCTTTTTCCTTACAAATACTGTACAGGAAATTACAAAGTTTTACAGTGGACTTATTATACAGATACATGTACTTAGGGTAGTCTTAGTGACTGGGAAGTGTTTTTTCTGCTTTAGTAACTGTGAGGTGCTTTTGCTTTGTTGTGAAGTGCTTCCTTTACTTTAGTGACTAAAGGGTTTTTGCATAGACTGTTAAGTGCTATCTCTGCTTTAGTGACTGGGAAGTGCTTTAGTGACTGTAGTGTGCTTTAGTGACTGTGAGGTGCTTTCCCTCTGTTTTTGTGACAGTGAAGTGAACAGTGTAATTTTGAAAATGTCCAACAAGTGTTTTGCTCATGGTCCTGCGGTTGGGAAGGCCAAGGCACCCAGGAAAACTGTGTCTCTCAAGGTGAAGCTCAACATTGTGAAGTAGCATGAGAGAGGTGAAGGAGTGTGCTACATTGCTCGCCATCATTGATCTGATTCAGCCAACAGTGTCTACCATAATTGAAAAGGCACCGGAAATGAAGGCCGTGACACAACATGAACCCAGTCTCTGTTTCTAGATCATTAAAGAAGCATGGGCCTATCATAGATAGAATGGAGAGTCTACTCCAAGACTGGATTCAAGACCAGACTCGATGGTGCTTGCCTCTCTCCACTGGGAGCATCATGGCCAAGGTCACCAATATTTGGACGAAGCTAAAGGCAGACAATGGTGACACCAGTGGCAGTGAGACTTTTTCCTCTTTCAAGGTAAGTCTTGGATGGTTTCAGCAGTTCAAAAACTGCGCCATTCTCCACAACCTTTGTCTGACTTGTGAGGCAGTCAATGTTGATGTCGAGTGCTAACACCTTCCCGGCACTCCTGAAGGCTGAGGTGGAGGAAGGAGGATACAATGCCAAGCATGTCCTTAACTTGGAAAAGGACGCCATTGAGGACTTTCCTGGCTAGGGAGGAAAAGACTGCACCTGGCTTTAAGGTTGCCAAGGACTGCCTTATGTTGCTGTTTGGAGGCAATGCTGAAGGGGACCTTAAGTTGATTCTGATACTGGTGTACCACTCAGATACCCCTAGAGTTCTTTAGGGGTTTATTAAAGAGCACCTTCCAGGTACACAAGAAGGCCTGGGTCACGAGGATGTTGTGCCAGAGTTATGTGGTTGGCTACCTCTCCGAGCACCTCGAGGACTACTCCGAGAAGCAGAACATCACCAACAAGTTTCTCCTGATACTCGACAATGAGCCTTCACACCCGCTTACGGTGGGTGAATGAACAGACAACATCACTGTCATGTTCCTATCCCCCCAACACCACCTCACTCATCCAGCCGATGGATCAGAGCGTCATTAATGATGCAGCTGTTAGAGGCGACAGATGGAGAAGGAAAGATGACCATTAAAGAATTCTGGCACAGCTACAACATCAAGCACGCCATACAAAACATTGACAAGTCATGGAAATAGGTCACACAGAGCTGCATGAATGGCATGTGGAGGAAAGTGTGGC